CAAGGGTTTGGGCCAGTGGCTGCCAGCTCCAAGGAGCTCATTAGCTGGAGGAAGACTGCCAGCTGCACAGGTGGTGGCTGGAGGTGGTGCCAGGAGCCCGGGGGACTATCCCTGACCTCAGTGCTTCGGCCGGAGTGAGTGGCAGAAGCTAGGAGACTAGCAAGCAGGTGAGACAGACCCATCACCCTGCCGGCACCCTGGGACTGGGGTTCATTTTGAAAAGGTGACCTGGGCCTCAGAGCAGAGCCACCCCTTTGGTGAGGTCCCTGGGTGGAGCTCCAGAGCCGGAACCAGAACCAGGGGCTGGAACCGAGGCCCTACCACACGGGGCTGCAGGGTCCCGGGCAAATGCCTACTGCACATGAGGGCCAACGGCCATGCGCGCTCAGCACCAGCACCTTCCTAAGTGCTTGCCAAGTTCCCCCCTTCAGCCCTCGGGAGGCCCCAGGAGGCGGGTTTGTGTGTTACCCCCATTGTACAGGTGAGGACTCCGAGGCTCAGGAATGTTAAGTGGACTGCGCATACAAGCAGATATAAACCAGGTGGATTTGGGGTGGCCGGGTCCCTGGACCCTGAACCCCTCCCTGCTGTCACTTCCTGGCAGCAAAGAGGACCCTGGGAGATCCGGAGTGTGTGGAGCCCCCTGCATGGTGGCATGCCATGGGACAGCCCCCCACCAGGTCCCCTGACATCTACAGAGCCCCTGGGGGGATGGCCCAATCCGCCAGCCACCTCATGTAATTACCAGATAAGGACATGCGGGGGTGAGAGTCAGGGCGGGAATCCCCTTGCCTGGCCTGAAAGTTCCTCGCCCAGCAGCCCCCATGCCCACAGTCATTCCTGGGGGTCTCCGTCCTCTGCTGTGGCTCAGCTTCTCACCCAGGGAGCTCAGTGTGCTGGTGTCCTGCACCCCTTGGCTCTCATGCACTGGTGGGCCCCCCACACGGGGGCACACTCTTCCCTGAGCACCTGGGGAGCACCTGGGGGGCAAGAACATGGCCTGGAGAGGGCCCAGGAAGGGTGCCCGGGCTCGGGGGAATGCTGAACAGAGAAGGACGGCCCGTGGGCCGCCTCTAAGAGGTCAGAGTCGGCTGGTGGCCAGGCCTTAGGCCCTGACGCCGAGTGGCCGCCATCTATCCGGCCAAAGCCAGCGCCCAGGGCCAGTCCCCTGCCAAGAGGCTGGGTCATGCTGAGCCTGCAGCTGAGGAGGCTGCCAAGCTGGGGCCAGCTTCCTGGGCATCTGGGCCTGAGGGGTGTCCAGTGCCTCCTCCTCCACAGGAGGAGAAATGGCCAGGAGGGAGGCCATCTAGTAGGGAAAACCAGGCGGTAAGAGAGTCAGCCCACATTACAGACTTGCTCTCGGAATGAACCTCAAAGTCCTTCCCCAGCTCTGAGGCCCCACCTGCTCCCGGCTGTCAGTGCGTGCGGACCTCGCGACCCTCCTGCACTTTCTGCTGGCCAGCGCCGGCCCCCCTCTGGCTGCAGAGCCCTCCAGACACACGCACCTCAGGGCCTTGGCCTGTGTTCCTGGCATCCCCCAGCCCCACCATGCCTCCCTTCCCCTGGGTCTGTGCTCACATACCTTTTCTTGCCTGGATTAAACCTGCAGCCATCCCCGGCGCCTCCCATCCCATGGCACCCAGCCCTGCGGGCACACTGCCGCCCACTCCTGTGTGTCCTCTGTGGACTGCCCATCGCCCCAGCACATCGTAAGCTCCATGAGAGCTTTTTATCTGTCTTGTCCACTGATGTGGACACTTGTGTTTCCTAGAGCCCAGAACAGGGCCTGGTTCAGAGCCACCGCTTCACAAACATGCTCGGGTAACTGACGGAGGAGGTGCGGGTGCCTGGGAAGTAATGTGCGCAGGATGCCCCGCCCCCTCCCTCCCTTCCCTCTGTGTATCCCACCATCCCACCGCCCGGCTGGCAGAGTGCTGTCAGAAGGAGTAGAGGGCAAAGTGGGGATGGGCCTGGAAGCCAGAGGATGCAGGTGGGGCCGCCACGACGGATCCCAGGGTCTGGCAGGCCTGCGCCTCTCAAGCTGTCTCCTTGAGGCACAATTCTCCTGGGGATCTCTTAACATGGAGGCTCTAGTCAGGGGGTCCGGGGTGGGGGCAGGGGAGCCGAGAGTCTGCGTGTCTCACTCGGTTCCAGGGGACGTGGACACCGCTGGAGAAGGGGCCACAGTTTGGCGGAGGGGGGCTCCCACTGAAGGCAGGTGGGGAGCAGAACTCCTTCCTACTCCAAACTGTCCTGCTCCACTGATGCCGAGGCGCCCTCGGTGTGGAACCGGGGTCAAGGCCTGCATGTCCCGGGCTCCCCCTGCGCCTAAGAAGGCCCCAAGTGGCTTCCCTCCTAGTTTCGCCGAGGTGGTCCTCCTCTTCCACAGGGGTCCCCATTTCCGGTGGAGCCTGGACAGGGGTGGGGACGGGACTGCAGGGTGCCCAGGGCCAACCCACAGCACCTGTCGGCTTGGTCTTGCTGGGACTAGGGGAGGAAGGAGGCTGTGAATACCTGTCATGCCTACACAGCATCGCTGGCGATTCGGGGCTGTTTGTGGCGCTCAAAGCTTCCTTCACCCGACTGGGATGCATTCTAAGCAAAATAGCCATTTAGGAAGGGGTCCTCACAGGTCATGACTTCATACGATTTACGTGGTGAAGCGACAGTCAGCCGGTGACCAGGACAGTGGCTGCAGGTGGCAGGTGGGGAAAGAAGGGCGGCCTGGGCTGGCCTGAGAGCCGGCCGTGACCCTGCCCCCATGGGGTCCCCCATTGAGGGGACACGGCCCTGCCTCTGGGCTCCCCGCTGTGGGGCCTGTGAGCATCACATGTTTCTCTCCTCGCAGGCCATGCTCCGAAGGAAAATCAACAGGAAGATCTCAATGAATCACCCAGGGGCAAGTTGATTAGGATCCTGGACTAGGTCCGTGCTGGTGTCTGCTCAGAGGGTAGGACCCCTTAATCACTGTTCCACTCTTGAGAGGTGGACCTCGGGCGGGGTGGAAGGGGCTGGGGGCAGTCTCGTAGGCTTACTGGGAGTGCTACGGAGAGCAGCCCCCGGCAGCATCTGGCTGTGGAAGCCGACATGCCCACTTGCCCCTCAGAGCTGATGGCATCGCCACGTGGGGCACCAGAGAGGGGGTGTGGGGGTGCCCAGACAGGTCCATGTGCCGTCTAGACCCTTGGCCATGGAGCACCCCACTGGCCTCCTCCTCCTTTCATCCCAGGAGGCCTGGCTGCTAGGGGAGCACCCCAGCGGGGCTCCTGAGTTCGAGGGGTAGGGCCGGTGCAGGTGGGGCACCAGCCTGGCCCCTGAGGCCTTGCCCTTGATGGCTGCATCTTGGCTGAGCAGGCTCAGGGCCTTCAGCGCAAGCAGGTAACACATCCAGGACTAAGGAGGCATTCTCGGGTCCCAGAAGCTCTGAGAGGCTCAGGAAGAGCCTCCCTCTCTACCCTAATGGGCACAGGGCTTTCCCCGGGCCGGGAACCATCCTGCCGTGGGCCCAGCTGGCTTGGAGGCTTACAGCTCTGAAGACATTAGGCTGGGCGGCGGCAGCCAAGGTGGACTTTTCCTTGGTTTCCTTTCTGTCCCTCTATCCCAGCCCAGCATTAGGAAGATGGCCAGCACGTTTAAGGATTGTTCCAAGTGAATGTTCGTACTTTATAGGCACTTTGTAAATTCTATAGCACTTTAATTTATGTTGTTTGTTCAGAACGCTGGAAAGGCACACGGACTTCCTGCTGGCAGTGCCTTCTTTTCCCTGTCAGCTGTTTACCTGTTCTGGTGGCCCAGCCGGAGAATCCTGCTCCGTTCTGTGCAGCCCTGTGAGTAGCTGCTGGGAAAGGGGCTGCTGGGGGAGGGGCCTAGCGGCAGCTCTGGCAGCTCTGGTTCTCCACGAGCTGCCCCTCTGTCTAGGCTGGCAGGTGAGATTCATGTGGAAGGCAGACCGAAGGCACCAAGTACAAGCACAGCCCCTGCCCAGAACCAAAGCTCCAGAGGTCCAGGGTGCTGCCCATTGCCTCGAACAGTGCCCAGTGCCCAGTAGAACCTGGCAAGTGTTTGCTGAATAAATGCATGTACATACACTGTAGTGGGATGAATCGTGTCCCCCACAAAGACATGCCCAAGTCCAGACCCCCAGAACCTGTGAATGTGACCTTATTTGGAGGAAGGGTCTTTGCAAATATGTTTAAGTCACAGATCTGGAGAGGAGATCGTTCTGGATGTAGGGTGGGCCCCAAATCCAATGATTAGTGTCCCTCTGTGAGCAGGGAGGGAGACGTGAGACACAAGCACTGGGGAGAGGCAGAGACTGGAGGGGCGCAGCCACAGCCACACAGCCCCGGGGCTGTGAGGGGCAGGAAGGAATCCCCCTGCAGTCTCTGCCTCTCCCCAGTGCTTGTGTCCCAGTGCTGAGGACACCTGAATTTTAGGCTTTTGGCCTCTGAGAGAGAATCCATTTCTGTTGTTTTAGGCTGCCAGTTTGTGGGGATTTGTTACAGTGGCCCCAGGACGCTCACACACGCGCGCTCTGGCCTGGAGCTTGCCCCTGGCAGGCACTTTGTCCCCGGTTCACCTGCCTGGTTCTTTCTGCCTCACCCCTGGGCCCCCCGCAAATCCTGCCCAGAGGACAGGCCCTGTGCGCGCTGCTGGGGCGGGTGTGCTCCAAAGGCCTGCCTCGCCTGGTGGTTTCTCCTGGCTGCTGGTCCCTTTGCGGGAATGTGCCCAGCAGGAGGGATGGGGAAGTGGCCTCAACATCGGCTTGTGATTGCTGCCCTGGGGGCCCCTCAGGCCAGGAGAAGGCAGATGTGTGGCAAAAAATCAAGCACAGCCCCAAATGTGTCCAGAATCTGTCCAGAGCCAGCCTTCAACCACCTTCTCAGCAGGCACCATGCCCAGCCCAGGGGCAGTGTGGAGACCAGGTGGACAGGATCCTCCATCCGCCTTTGAAAGGTCCAAAAGTGGAAAGCAAATAGTTCCAAGGAACGGAACTTCTCGCTCTCCTTTGCTTACAGGAAAGCTCCGGAGGAGGCGAGACCCTGCGAGCTTGCTCTTCAGTTTTTAAATTTAATGGTGGTTTCTGCCCCAAAGTTGGCCCTGGGGGTCCACAATTATTAACTGTGTTCCGGTGGTTCTGGCAGCCGCTGGCCCCAGGACTCGGAGCCTTTCATTTAACAAGGGCTTAACCTGCAGCCAGCGAGTCTCTGTCCTCCCTCCTTGGCGTCCCTTCCCTACTCGTCTCTCCCGAAGGACCCATCAGAAGCCTTTTGAAAACCCAGGTAAATTATGTCCACTGGGCTGCTGGGATGCCTGCCATTTTATTAACTTTTTGGAGCGCTCTGGTGAGTTCGAGAGCCCGATTTCCTTTTAGATACATGGAGCATTTGACCTCATTACCTCTGGGCATACAGGTCTGCAATTTTCAGGGTCTCCCTGGCTGATGTTAGCGACTTTCCAATTTCCAGAGAGGGCTTAGTGTCCAAAGCCCTTTCCAGATCACCCCTATTTTATATGTTCTAATTCCATTAGGTGAATCCGCTCCCATTCCCGAGATTTACTGGGGTGGGATTTCGCAGGTAAGCTTATAAACTGCTTTCTGAGCACCCGAGGCCGGGAGGGCCTGCCAACTGTGTGCAGCTTGTGTGCGTCCGCGGCTGTGGGGACCTGGACAGGTGACTCAGAACTGGCTCCGGGTGGGGGGCCCATGTAGCTCGTGTCACGAAGGGCTGTGGGTCAGCATCCAGATTGCTTAGGTAGCAGGGATTTCAGTTCGTCCGTCACACAAACGCTGCCCAAACCTGCTGGCGCTGTAACAGACGCACACCAGAGCGGCCCGTGGCCGCGGGCAGTAGAGTTACGAGGTCCCTGGGCGCCGCCATCGTGGTCTCTGCCCCCAACTCACGCGGGCACATGTTGGCTGCCTCTTCTCTTGGCTACATTTCTGCCCTTGGAGGGAGGCGTCCTGCCTGCCTTGGTTCGACCAGCTCCCACTCCTGCCGGCCCCGCTTTCTGTCGCCTCATTTGCTCTCATCGGGCGATTTCTGTGTTTTGCAGGGATTGTTCTCTGTGAGAGGCGCTTTCTGGCACCTTTCTTGAGGGACATTATTTGCCATCATCAAGGATGGATTGTGCTGCATGTTACCTGCGACTGTACCTGTGTGCACCCAAAGGGCTTCCCGGCACAGAGCCTCTGAAACTCATGGAATTTCTCCAGTGATAGGTGGGTCCTTGTCATGCTAATGAGACAACTAAGGGTGGTCCCCTAAGTCACTTTGGGATGGGGGTGGGTCACCAGCCTCCTGATTAGAGGGTTGGAATATCAGACCAGCCCATTCTCTGGAGGGGCTGGAGATGAAGTTCAGTGGAGTGGCCAATGGTTTAATCAGTCATGCGTATGTAACAAAACCCTGGTAAAAACCCCGGGCGCTGGGCCTGGGGGCAGCTTCCTGAGGGGCAGCACATGGATGTGGTCCATGCCCGATGCCACAGGGGCAGGGCATGGCAGCTCTGAGCTCTGACCCATATCTTGCCCTGCATGTGTCCTTCATAATCCAACTGTAATTGCAGGTTTTCTCGAGTCTGAGACATTCTAGCAGATATAGAACTCAGGGGTCATGGGAACCCCTGAACTGAAAGCTGATAGGTCAGAGTGTGAATGGCCTCCAAGACTTTCAGCTGGTGCCTGCAGTCTGGCGGCCTTGTGGAGGATGGGGTCTGAGGCCAACTCTGGGTGGTGGGTGCCAGAATGGCACCGCAGCGCCCCCCCCCAGGATGGAAATGGGTCCGATGTCAGAGCCAGCATCTCTGCATCGGGGTCTAAGCCCCAGCTCTGTGTCTGGGGTGTCATGTTTTGGCGAGGCACTTAGCTGATGGGGTTGGGATGGATGATCTCCACGGTCTGCCAGCTCCGAAATGTGACCAGAGGCACCTGGGCTCTCGGTCCTGCTGTTGGGAGCCCCGGCTGCTGCCATTCCTCTGGGAGAGAGCCCCTGAGCCACGGAGGCTGCCAGGAAAGTCCAAGTGTGGTAATCTGGGTATAGTGAGTGGCAGGTGAGGAGAAGCTGACATGCCCAGGGCGGGGAAGAATGCACCCCCAGCTTCAGTTCTGGATGGTGTGGGGTGCGGCACGGGGGTTTCTAGTATTTCCACCCCCTATCCCAGATCACGACTTCACCCTGCCCAGGTCATACCTCCCTCAGTCTCGTTGCAAATTCCCCTTTCCCCCCGGTGGTTTCTAACCTCCTCTTTTCGCTCCATCATCTGCTGGCCCCCCAGTGCCTGGAAAGCCCCAGAAGCACACTGGGAGCCCACACTGTGCGCTGGCGTCCACCATGGGGCATGGAGACTCCAGGTCAGTAGGCGTCACACGTCAGCCAGCCCGCCTTGGCTGACACCCACACACTTTGCTATGACCCCCAGTGCTTCGGAGTCCACCATGCGCCCCCTCCCAGCCCATTCCCAGAAGTTCCCCAAAATAAAAAGGGTTTCCCTGGAAATTACTGAGATTTGCCTCCTTATAATTTCCCCATTGGTCTGGGTTCTACCTGCTGGACCACAAAGGTCAAGTTCAACCTCTTCCTCCAAGACAGACCTGTGGCTTTTCATTTTGGGGCTGGCTGCTCACCCTCCCACATTCCAGCCCTGTAGGGTCCCCAGGTGTGTGGCCACCTGCAGCTGGAGCTTCTAGGCCAGGCCTCCTCCACCTTCATGGGAAAATGAAACCAACCTGCTCCTCTGCCACCCCAACTATCTGGCCCAAGTCCATTCTAAATCTCCCCTCCTCCGTCTGGGCCCTCCTGGCATGGGCCACACTCCTGGCCTGGTGGACCCCAGGGGCTGTGCCAGTCCATCTCCCTCTTCTCATCTCCTGTTCCTTGGCTTCCTGCTCACCAGCCTGTGAACCCTGTGCCCACCTCGCTGCCCCTGCTCACTGCCGCACCCACCCCATGCACCAGCATTCCGGCTCCATTCCTCCCACAGGGGATGTCGATTTCTAACCTCATAGGACAGCTTGTCCCTTGTCCCCAGAAATTTCTCCTCTCCTCTGCCTGTCTTTACACCCTTCCTTGTCAGCTTAGAGGCTATTCTGGGATGAATAGTGGCCCCCCAAAAGTCACATTCACCTGGAACCTCGGTTTGTGACCTTATTTGGAAACAGGGTTTTTGCAGACGCAATTAGTTAAGATGAGATCACATTGGATGAAGTGGCCCTAAATCCAATGACTGATGTCCTTACAAGAAGGGGGGATTTGTGCAGCGATACAGGTGCCCAGACATACACAGGGAAGATGCCAAGTGAGGATGGAGGCAGAGATGGGGAGCCAGGGGGTGCTAAGGTTGGCTAGAAGCTGACAAAGAAAGGAAAGCCATTCCCTAGACCTTCAGAGGGGCACAGCCCTGCCGACACCGTGACCTCAGATCTCTGGCCTCCAGAACGAAGAGCATAAAATCCAGTTGTTTTAAGCTGCACAGCCTGTAGTAATTTGTTACAGGAGCCAAAGGAGACTCATACAGATGCTGACTCGGTCTTCTAAAGCATCACATTGTCCTTGTCCCTTCGGCGTGTACTACGTGCTCAGAGTTCAAAGCCACATCTCCCTGTGTGCTGGGCCTGTCCACTTGGGGTGCCACGATACCCTAAACCTCCATGGCTGATCTCACTGCCCATCTCCAGGTCTCCTGTGTTCCCCATCATAAGAGCTTACATTGCCTGTACCTGTTCCTGCAGCAAATACCAGGCTCCATCCTCCATGCTGCTATCAGATGCTTCCCCTCCTGCCATTAACGTGCCCCTGCTCTATGACCTTTTGCCCCTGGGCTGGGACGACGACTGCCATGTCTCACAGGAGAGTCGTGCTGCAGGGCTCTGAGCCAGGACACAGCACTGAACGGGGCATCCAGAGACACAGGGGCTGGACGAGGGCACTGCGCAGGGACGGAGCCGACTGTGACAGCTTGCTCCCTCTCCCTGGGGCCCGAGGAAGGTGGCGGGGTGGCTCTGTCACTATGACTCCTGTCGCCGGAGGCCAATCCACACACCAGAGCTGCGGAGGCAATGGCCTTTGCCCGCTGGGATGGCCGTGACGGTCGCCTGGCGCCGCGCACCTTCTTTATTCCCCTCTGGCAGGTAAGTGCGTGAGACATAACGGTTCAGTGCCTGGTCCGAGGTCATACAACAAGACATCAGGGCTGGAACTCAGACCCATTTGTTTCTGGACTCCAAAACCCAAGGCCAACTTAATTTGGGGGCTCCGTGCAGAATGACAAAGTGGCCCCTGGTTCAAAGAGCACTGTGATTTCAGGACAGAGACAGCAGAGCCCTTGGCCAGTCCAGGTGCCCTGAGGCCGCCCGGCCCAGCTCGGCTGTCAGCCGCTGGCCCCAGCCAGCCCCCAGCCCGCGCTTTCCTCCTGCCATCGGGCCTTTTCAGAACCCCCCTGTAGGGATGGAGGATGCCTGGGCCAGGTCACCCCCAACCAAGCCCTTCTCCTGCTTCCGCCTCCTCCTACCCGACCTCATTACGGCCACAAGCTCCCACCCTGGCTGCTTTGCCGGGCAGCCCTGGGCAAACCACCAAGCCTCTCTGGACTCCTGTTTCCTCATGAAAACAATAAGGAGTCATGTGATAAAAGGGTGTGGGGCCCCCACAGAGTGTCACCTGTCAAGCAAAGAAAAGAGGTTGGCCCCACTTGCATGCTTGCACATCTGCCCAGATGGCAGGGCCTGGAGGCGCAGAGCTCCCACCCCAGCCCACATGAGCACAGGGTCCAGGCCAGCCACCAGCTGCGCGGGGCCTGCCGCCCACCGGGCCCCACTGGTCCTGTGCGGGAATACCTCCTTTCGTCCCCTCAACAGCCCTCCTGCTGGCCAGTCAGGACGGGCTCCTTTTTCCAGGGGAGGGCGCTGAGGCCGAGAGGAGCAGGAAGCCGCTGGAGTCATGCAGCTGGCAAGGGCAGGGCTGGGGAGTGAGCCAACTCCTGCCACAGAGGAGCCTGGCCTGGCCCCCAGGGAGCTGGCCAGGCCACGGCCACCTGCCTCCCTGTGAGCACACCTCTTCAGGGGCTGGTGACTCAGCTCGGGCGTGCCCCAGACAAGCACGCGGAGGGGCGGTCAGGCGTCGGCTGGACCACTGAGCTGGGGCGGGGCAGGCACTGACCCTGAGCACACAGCTGCCTGTCTGTCCCCAGCCATCTGCGTCTTCCTGTCTGAGCACTGTTATCCCACCTCTGACCCTTCTCAGGGCGGACCCCTGCCCTTGGGTGGGAGACCGGGGGCTCTGGATGTCTGAATGCTGCAGAGAGCAGACATCTGGGCCTGGCGGCCTCAGGTTTCTGATTTATTAGATAGAGGAAACAGCTCCCACCTCCTGGGGTGGCAGTGAAGATTAAGCGAGTGGGCACTTTTAATTACGCAGCGTGGAGCCTGGCACAAAGTAAGCACTCAGCACAAGTGAGGCACCTCAGTGGTGCTCCCCACCATCAGAGGGGGAACCAGGCCCTGGGAAGGGGGGCGGTTGGGGGTTCTGAACCTGGGAGGGGCAGGTCTGGCCTCTTTCCTCCCCTGCTGGAGGCTGTTCCCAGTCCTGGGCGCAGAGAGCCCCAGGGTGCTGGGAAATGCACATGTGGTCAGCGTGGCAGCGGGGTCTCTTCCCTGTAATATATATAGGCGGGGGCATAGCTAATGCATCTCCACACATCCAATTCCTGGTCCCCATCCCAAGAAATGGCTCCACCATCCACACAGTTGTTCAGCTCAAAGCCAGGAGTCATTCTGGATTCTTCTCCGTCTCCTTGCCTGACCGCCCCCCTCACTGCTGGCCTGAGCCAATTGTCAGCAAGTGCCCCCACGGAGCCATGTTGGCTGAGTGGCTCTGCTGCCCAGCACTGGCCATGGGCAGCTCTCTGCAGGAGGTGGCGGAGGCAGCACCCTCATCCCCAAAGAGTGCAAGCGCTAATCGCAGAGGCGACCCAACCCCACACACCCATCACACACCATGTGACCGAGGGCCCATCTCCAATGGGATTGGAAGTGAGCGGTGCATTCAGAAAAAGCCAAGGCAGACAGTAGGCGCCCGTGAAAGGGGGCCTTGGCTTGGCTTGGTGATGAACAAGCAGTGCTGACCTTCCCTTTAAAAACAGAGTTAAACATGACCCAGAGAAATGAGAACACATGTCCAAACAAGCATGTGTCCATGTGTGCTCACAGATGCCCCACAGTGCAAA